TCAAAGGGGTTTGGGGACGGGGGGGCACTCAGCACAGCGCAGACAGGGAAGACAACCCCCCACAACAGAGGTACAGACCCCTGAGGACCCTCCCCACCCAAGTTTGATATCCCAGCATGCACCTCTTCCAGGACTAGAACCCAGGCATCCTGGCTCCAACCCCCCCCCGCAAAGTGCTCTACCCAATGCACATCATTTCCTCTCTGCAAAGCTGGGCTGAGAGCCCAGGTGTCCTGGCTCCCCACAAGGTGCTCTAACCATTGCACTTCACCGCCCCCGAGCTGGGATGAGAGCCCAGGTGTCCTGCCCCCCCCCCACCAGGCCCTTTATCCCAGGCACTGCCCTACGGGAGCCCCCCGGGGTAACTCACCGGCCCCGATCCGGCGCGTGCGCAGTGTGGGCGGTGGCAGGACTTGAACCCGGGCTGCGATGAGACCCAGGTATCCTGATGCCCCTGCCCCAAGCCCCCAGGGTCTCCCCCCTCCTGGAGCTGAGAAGGGGACCCAGGGGTCCCGCTGCTGGCTCTAACCACACGTGCCCGCTCCCCTCCCAGAGCCAGGCCTAGACCCCCGGCGTCCCCCCCGCTCTAACCACTGGACCCCTGTGCTGAGGGCTCCCCTGGCTGTGAGGGGCTGTGCGCAGAAAGGGTTAACAGGGATTTAATCGCCAGCCACTAACGAGGGCTCTGCTCACGCTCCTTTCTGCTCACGCTCATTTCTCAGGGGAGCTCTGGTGACAGCCCATAAATCACGGGCCCGGCCCCGATCCTGGCAGCCGGCGCCTGCGGGGCCCCGCGCAAAACAGGCGTGCAAATCCCCCCCGGGCCTATTGCAGGCTGGTGCATGTCTATGCCACCCGTTGGGGGGGACAGGGCCCCATGTGCAAAACAGGTGTGCAAATCCCCCCAGCCTGTTACACACCCACATATGTCTGTGACACCCTGGCGAGACAGGGCCCCATGTGTAAAACAGGTGTGCAAATCCCCCCCAGCGTGTTGCACAGCTGCACATGTCTGAGACACCCTGGGGGGGCAGGGCCCTGTGTCTGTGTGCAAAACAGGTGCAAATCCCTCCAGGCCTGTTGTACACCCGCATATGTCCGTGACACCCTGCGGGGGCAGAGCCCTGCATGAGTGTGTGCAAAACAGGTGTGCAAATCCCCCCTTCCAGTCTGTTGCACATCCAGACATATCTATGCTACTCTGGGGAAGCCAGGGCCCATGAGTGTGTACAAAACAGGCATGCAACCCCCCCAGCCTGTTGCACACCTGCACATGTCTACATCACCCAGGGGGGCAGCCAGGGCCCATGCGCATGTGCAAAAACGATGTGCAAATTCCCCTAGGGGGGCAGGGCCCCATTCAGGCATGCAAAACAGGTGTGCAAATCCCCTCTCCGCTTGTTGCACACCCACACATCTATGCCAGCCTGGTGCTAGGGCCTCGTGTGTGTGCAAAATAGGTGTGCAACCCCGGGGCCTTTTGCACGCCAGCGCATGGGTGTGCTGCCCCCATTCTCATGCACCTGCTCGCACGAGGACACATGGGCGTGTGTGCACTGGGGCTGGGCCTGCACCTTCATGTGACCTCTCCTTGCACTAGTGCAAGAGAAACACGCCTGCCCAGTGGCTGGAGCTGGATGGGGCCGGGAGCCTGGTCGCCTGGGGTCTCTCCCCAGCTACTGACGGCCCATGGGGCGGGGGGTGCACCTGGCACAGGGTCCCCCAGCTCTGCCCCCCCCCACAGGTGAAGGGCAATTATCCCCCAGCCTATCCATCGTGGGGGTCCCCAGCTTGGGGGTGGGGGAGGTGGTATTAATTTGCTCTGGAGCTTCCAGCCCTCCCAACCCCTGCCTGGAGCCGGGGAGGTGGAGCGGGGGGTGCTGGGATGGACAGACAGACGGACAGAGGTGGGATGGATGGACAGGGATAGCTAGATGGACAGGGACGGACAGACAGATGGAGACGAATAGACAGACAGGCAGGCGTGTATTAGATAGACGGATGGACAGACGACAGACAGGCACGCACTGGATGGGTGGATGGAGAGCGCGGGGATGGACAGACAGGCGGGTGACCGGTGTTTATGCAGGTGGACAGACAGACAGGCGAGAGGCAGACGATGGACACTAGACAGACAGACAGACGGGGCGGTGCGACAGGGAGCCCAGAGAGGGGCAGAGAGACGGCTGCCGGGCGTGGGTGCAGGTCGATCGAACGGACAGAGAAGTGATAGACAGACAGACGAGGCTGGGTAGATAGATGGCAGACAGACGAGCGGATGGATGGACAGACAGACAGGCGGGCGGGCAGGGAGGCGACAGGCAGGCATGTATTGGACGGATGGACGGAGAGAGCGCGGAGGTGGACAGACAGATGGACAAGAGGTGTCCAGGCTGCTAGACAGACAGACGGCCAGACGGCCGGGGTGGGGCACGGATGGGTGGGGATGGGTGAGCTGGGCGGGT